CTGGGGACCCTGCCTTCTTTCATATTTCTTTCTCTTTTTTTTCAAATTAATTAATTAATTTATTTTTGGCTGCGTTGGGTCTTCGTTGCTGCGTGTGGGCTTTCTCTAGTTGCTGCGGGCAGGGGCTACTCTTCATTGAGGTGCGTGGGCTTCTCATCGCGGTGGCTTCTCTTGTTGTGGAGCACGGGCTCTAGGTGCACGGGCTCAGTAGTTGTGGCTCGCGGGCTCTAGAGCGCAGGCTCAGTAGTTGTGGCGCACAGGCTTAGTTGCTCTGCGGCACGTGGGATCTTCCCGGACCAGGGCTCCAACCCATGTCCCCTACATTGGCAGGCAGATTCTCAACCACTGCGCCACCAGGGAAGTCCCTCTTTCATATTTCTTTTGATCCTCGGTAATATCCCTGCAAAGCCAACTACGCGGGAAGCATCATCCCCTTCAGAGGCTGGGAAACAGTGTGAGAGAGGGTAACCCCAAATCAGGGCCAGAGCTGGGCTTCCCACCCAGGCATGTGGACACTGGGCTCCCAGCAGCTCCCTGTGCAGAGGGGAGGACCATTCCTCACCCCACAGTGAGACCCTGCAGTGCCCTGGGGGATCGTGGTAGGTCAGGTGGGCTGGGACTCCCCATTTACCACCATCTCTTCCCTCTGCAGCACTGGGCCCTGGAGGCAAACCACCCAAGCCAGGTAAGACTGGTGGCCTCAGAGCACTGAGTGAGTGCCGGCGGGTAGGGGAGGGAAGGGTCCGCAGAGCTGTGAACCCAGCCTATGGACAGAGGAGGGAGGGCAGTGGTGGGCGGCAACAGCCCCTCTGCCCCCTAGTCAACCCCACCTATAACCTGGCTAGGGCCAAGCTCCGGGGCATCCAGGGTCAGGAGGCTGGAGGCAGCTTGCTGTCCACCATGTGTGAGGGGTGTCTGGCACCTACCCTGCCGGTGCCTCTGTGCTCAGCTGCCCTGACTGTCCCCTGTGCACAGGGTCCCAGAAACAGCCCTGGTGCTGGAGTCAACGGTAGGAATTGATGTTCCAGTGGCCACCAAGCCTGTGGGCTGAGACACAGATGGTGGGCCCCATACTCTGCCTGAATGGTCCCTGACCACAAACCAAGGCCTCTCTTACTCCAGGCCAAGATCCTAGATGTACCTGTCCTTAATGACAATCTGAGCCCTTATCCTGACCCCAGGCTGAATCTTGACCCCAGACCAAGCCCTGAACCTAACCCTAGGCTTCACCCTGACCCTGGCCCCAGATGACCTTCCTTCCCAGGCCCCTTCCAGCTGTGTCCAGACCAAGGAGTTTTCCAGTATGAGGATGTGGTGAGATCTATCCTGGCCTTGCCCATGGGGCTTGGATCTGCCACTAGGGTCCACCATCAGCTCCAGAGAACACACCCCCAGGAAAGAGAGAGGGGGGGCTCCTCCTCCAGGAGGCCCTGGTGGATAAGGATCAGGTGGGGGAAGGGGCGTCTCTGTCCGGATTTATGGCCCTAAGAGCATGAGACGCTTCACATGCAGCCCTGGCACCCCCCACCCTGATCCGTGTCTCCCTGGCTCTGAAGCCTGGGACTGCAGGACAGTTTGCATGTCCAACAGCTCTTACGAAATCCAGATATTCGATGATTCAAGTGCAAGTGAATCTACAAGACCCAGCTTCCCCTTCCCTGCAAGCCCATCTGGGTTATGAAACTACAGGGCTGGGGCCAGGCGAGAGAGATGCAGGAGGGCAGGGGGCCTGGGCAAGGGGTTTGCTGGGGTCTGTTGGGGTCTGCAAGGCTGGAGCCCTCGGGATTCACTGCTTATCCCGCCTGAACCTACTTCCTATCTTCTCAGAGGGGTGAGTGATCTCAGCAGGGTCTTTGACAGTAGAGAGAGAACAGGGAAAGGCTAGATAAACAAAGGTGTGGAATTAGGATCGTGCTTAGCTGTGAAGACCCAAATGGTAGCGGTCGTGACTGCAGAGCCAGAACAGGGATTGATTGATCCCATTGGCAGCAGGGGACACATGGCAGGTTGTGATGAAACACCAAAGAGAAGACTGCATTCAGTTGCAGTTGATAAAGTGAAGTTTTATTGATGAAAGATTTAGTTTAGACTCTTCCAAAAGAACTTCTGGCTCGGGGTGGAGGCGTAGACCGAGAGGAAAGTCAGAGCATCTGCTGATGGAAAGGGGCTGGACTCCATGACCTCCCTGAGGTCATCTTTCAGCCTTAGGACTCTGAGCTACAAAGGCCCGGACAGGGCCACAGTGGCCCCCCCGACAAAGGGCAGCTCCCCACATCCGAGCAGCAGGGACGCCTGGGCCTGCCCAGATGGGATGGAACTGGGCACAGACCATGCACGTCATGCTTGGGAACAACTAATCCATTGGCGAGTGGAGGGTGGGTGGCCTGGCAGCTGCTCCACCTGGGCCTCGGCCGGTGGCCCAGCCTGGGCTCTCAGTGGGGGGACCAGGCAGCTGGGAGCCAGCCCCACCTACACCCCCAGCACCGGCTGGAGGCCAGTCACCCATGTGAGAGGACAGGGGGGAGCAGGGGGGCCACCCACCGGTCACCCTGGCAGGCTGCAGACGCTCTGCACCCTCTGCCCACGAGCCCTCTGGTCCCAGGAAGGTCGGGAACACGCTGGCCGTTTTGTAAGTGGGGAAACTTGAGTCTCAGAGAGGTGAAGTGACTTGCTCTTTCGTGCAAGGAGTAGCTTGGGACAGCGGGATTTGAATCCAGGGCTCTCCAACTCCAGGGGAGAGAGACGGTTGGGTAAGCCAGGCCCCTGGGCAACCAGGGAGTCCAGCCCCTCCCTCCTCAGCCCTCTCTCCTCCATTCTAGGGGCTGGACTCCTTGGGGCATTTGGGCCAGGTGAGTCCACAGGAAGGAGGGCATGTAGCTGGTCATGCTACGGGTGGCCCTGGGACCAGACAACTCTGGGGGAGCATGGGACGAGGGCAGATGGCCGCACAGGGGCTGCAGGCCCCACCCCACACACCCAGCCTCTTCTTACTTCCTGTTCGGTCCCCATCCTCTCTTCCCAGCCCCTCTGCGGTCAGGAAAGGCCCGAGCGTGTCCGCTGCCCTGTTGGAGCTCAGGACACAGGCCTGGCTGGAGAGAAACCCCTGCCAGAGCTGGGGAGGGGCAGGGCCTGCAGTCCTGGGAAGTGGACCCAGGCACACCCCACGCCCAGCTAGACCACACCACACCTGCCGGAAGGGAGACTGGCCGGAGTCAGAGGCCCATCTTACAGAGGGGCTGGCTGGGTTTCAGACGGGCCAGCTCACAGAAGTAGGAAATGGGTTCGGGGGACCACACCCAGTGAAAGCTAGGTGGACTCTCCAGGGCTCAGCAGTCCTGCATGTTTGAGGTCGGTCCCCAGAGGGGCCGGCCCTGAGCTTGGAACCCTGGTGGCCAGGACTGGTGCTTGTGGGAGAGATTCTCACATAATTGGAAACAAACCCGGCACGGTTGTGAACTCCAACCTGATTGCCCATCGGTCCTGGCCAAAGCCGTGGAATGTCTCCTGGAGTGGGAAAAGGAGAGATTGAGCCCAGATGTGGGAAGGAGAGAGCCAGAGGGACCCATTTGGCTGTTCATAAACATTTTAGCATCTGTCTGCAGGCAGGGAGGCTCCCGGACTGCAGGGCAGGCTAGACGGATGGACAAAAGGGGCTCCAGATACAGGGGAGAGGGCGTGGCCTGAGGCAGGGGACCCCTGCGAGGAAGCCAGTGAGAGGCCTGGGGTGGGGCAGCTAACATGGGAGCAGAGCAGGGCCTGGCCTGGATGAGGTCTTGCCGGCAGCTCGTGCTCAGCCCCAGCCTCTCTGTGTCCCTCGTTAGGTGGCGGGCCTTCTAAGGGAAGTGAGGTCTGGTCAGGGCGTGCTGTACGGAGTCAGCACAGTCAGTCCACATGGCACATGGCAGTCGGTTGCTAAACAGCGGCTATTTTATCAGATTGGCCCCTGAGTACCAAAGGTTTGAGTCCAGCTTAGGGCCCTGAGCGGCTACACAGCGACCACAGCATCGCCAGGGTCCTGCCCCTACTCCACGAGACCCTTTCCACCCTGGGCCCAGGAATGATGTCCCACACCAGCCCCTCACCTGGCTCTGTCTTATTCTCCCGGGAGGTGCCGGAGGGCTCGTAGGCGCTGGCCTTGGGGCAGGTTAGTGTTGACACCAGGCAAGATGCCCCTCTGGGGGCCAGAGCATCTGCCCAGTATGGAGGGCAGTTGTGGGTACAAGGATGCAGACTGGGCCTGTCCTGGGCACTGGTGTAAGGGGTGGTGCTGAGACCACCTGCCCCGAGCAGCTGTCCAGGGCACAGGGGAATCACAGCTGGGTCCTGGGTGCTGTTATAACCTAGTAACAAGAGCTGAAGGGAAGCAGCCCCAGGAACCCAAAGGAGTCGCCCACCTCGGTGGGGCTTCAGGAAGGCTTTTTGGAGGAGGGAGGCGTGGAAGTTAGACCCCGAAAGATCCCTGCGGTTTGTCAGGCCGAGCGGAGCAGCCTGCCCCATACTGCTCGCTGACACCGCACCCCGTCCTGGGAGCAGCAGTCACAGCTTTGCGTGGAGCAGAAGAACCTCAAACGTACCACGTGGGCAGCGTGGGCTGGGGAAGGGCTGCGGGCAGGACCTCACCCCGTCCTCCTCTCCGCAGGGCTCGGGGCCTTTCCTGCAGGGGCCTACCCAGGAGCTCTGGTGCCCGGCGGCCTGGCTGGCGCTGCTGCAGCCTATAAAGCCGCTGCCAAGGCCGGTGAGTGTTACCCTTTGGGACGTGCCATAAGCCCTCTGGCCTCCGCACGCTCTCCACTTGGCAAAGAACCTTTCCTGAGGGGCAGGCGGATGGGAACCTCAGCTCCATCTCCTGGGGGTGTGGGGAAGCAGCCAGCTGTGCCCAAGTCTCAGAGGTGGTGGCAGACCCAACCTCAGCCCCGGTCCCTCCCGCTTTTGACTGTTCCTGGTGTGACCTCTCTCCTCTCCCACTCCTGGCTCTGTAGGTGCTGCGGGGCTTGGTGGGGTCGGCAGCATTGGTGGCTTAGGAGTGTCTACGGGTATGGAGGCGAGACCTGGGTGGCCCCGGCGAAGGCCGCGGCGGGGTGTGGGGGGTGGAGCCCACTCTGAGGTGGCCCCTTCCCTACCAGGTGCGGTGGTACCTCAGCTCGGAGCAGGAGTTGGAGCTGGAGGGAAACCCGGGAAGGTGCCAGGTCAGTGTGGATGGAGTCCCTGGGGGTGGAGGGCAGAGGTCAGGGAGGAGCAAGAGCTTCTAAGGCCCACGGGGCAGGAAGGACAGGGCCCGGCTGCAGCAGGGCAGGGGGCATAGCCAGGCCCAGAGCATGGTGCAGTGTGCCAGATAGGGGCGAGGGGCCCTGGTCTACTTCCAGGCCCTTCTTCCAGGACCTTGGAGCAGACCTCAGAGACAGACTCTGTGGCACCCACATTCAGACGCCAGATGGGGACACTGGGACTCAAAATAGGGAGTCGGCGCAGAAGGGCCCGCCCGTCACTGCGGAGCGGGGGTGAGCCCGAGGTGGGCCGACTCCCCATCCGGTGTTTGTTCCTCTGCACCAAGCCCTTGAGGAAGTGACTTCAGGTTAAACAAAAGGCTGCCTGAGTCCACACAGCAGGGAGGGAACATCTGGAAGCTGTTAACCCAGAGGTGGGCTGGGCTGGCCATGTAAACAGGCTCCAGGAGATGGGACAAATCCACGCACAGAAGGGTTTGCAGATGACTTCCGGGACTTACGGGAGGAGGGCTACAGCCACTGCACGTGTCCCTCACCGTTCCCGCCGGGCACCCAGGTGGCTGGCTCGGGAGCCCCGGAGCTGCCACGGCGGGAAGGGCCTGGAGGGGCCCGTGGAGGCCAGGCTGCCACTCATTCTCCTTCTTTGGCCACAGGTGTGGGGCTCCCAGGTGTATACCCAGGTGGAGTGCTCCCAGGCGCAGGTGAGAGCAAGCAGGAAAAGGGGACCCTGTAGCAAGGAGAGCAGACCCTGGCAGCCTCCCCGGTGGCCCCCCACCTCCCCCGAAGCCGAGGCCACCAGAGACCTTGGGTCCTAACTGGCATTTTCTCCTTAAGCATCAAAGCTCAGGCTACAGACATCAGATCTCTGGTTGTCTTTTCCCTACGAAGATCCACAAGCTTCCCCTGGCCCCCCAGAGCCCTGAGCCCAGGCCCAGACCCAGATGTCATCACAGCCTGCAGTGGGCCCCCAAGGACAGACCAAGTCCCCAGTGTGGCCAGCTGTTTCCCAAAAGCCATAAGTCACCAGGGGCCCCACCCAGTGCATCCGCCCTGCAGGAGACCTTCGGAGCTGCCCTCTCAACCTCCTTTCCCCACCAGGGCCCGGCCACCCCACCCAACATATGACCTTTTGAATTCCCCCAAAAGCCCAGACTCGGGCTGCTCTGCGGGATTTGCGGGCAGAGTGTCCCTCCCTCGGCCCCTCCCTGCCACGGTGGCCCAGCCCCAGGGGAGACAGGAGAGGTGACAGCACTGGACACTGGCAAATGGAGTGTCACCCAGCCAGAGCAGATGACTGCTTTGTGTTTGCTTGTGAATCACATCCAGTGAGAGCCCCCCAAGGTCACAGGCCTCCCCGACCTGCAGGCTCTCCCCACTTCTGGCAGGCTTCTACCGTCTGCTTTCTCTGATGAAGGTGAGCAGGGCGGCGGGAAATTAGCTCCAGTTTAGAGACAGGCCAGCAGAAACACAGAAGCACATGGCTAGGAAATAGGATTAAAACTTCTGACCTTGGGTCAAATGGGGAAGAAAAGTCACTACCAAAGAGGCCCTCCCCCCACCCTGTGAGCTATGCCAGTAGCTGACAGTCAGTGCAGAAGGAGGCCAGCTGTGTCACTGACGGGTGTGGTGCCGGGCTGGACCTTCCAGGCCGGCCTTCCCACGCCCACTGCGAGCCCCCTCTTTGCCCCTTCAGGAGCTCGGTTTCCGGGTGTAGGGGTGCTCCCTGGTGTTCCCACTGGAGCAGGAGTCAAGCCCAAGGCCCCAGGTATGTTGCCAGCTGGGCTGGGGGCCCATGGTGGGAATTTCCATTCACCCTCAGTCCCCTCCATCCTGGGGTGAGGGGCAGGGACCCTGGGCTCAGCTGGCTGAGATGGGCGGCACATCTCTCAGAAATCCCCGAGTGTGTGCGAGGCAGCATGAGCTGGGAGGTCTGGGCAGAATTGTCCACGGCTCGGGTCAGCCTGCCCCTCAGTGCTGCCATTGGTGCGTAAGCCCTGTGCCCGTGGTGGCAGGGCTGCAGTGATGGCTCCTTGTCACTGCAGGTGGAGGCGGAGCTTTTGCTGGAATCCCAGGTAAGGCAAGGCTGGGTCCCCCACGCCAATGAGGGTGGGCAGGCCAACGGGTCTGCCAGCTGGGCAGGAGATCCTCCCCTGGGAGGGGCTGGGCATGCCTACTGCTCCAGGCCTCGGACTGGCTTCAGCACAAAGTGGCATCAATCACAGGCCTGCTTCCCCCGTCCCAACCCTCTGTCTGGGAGCCCAAATGAGCCCAGAAAACCCAGCAGTCTGTGCCAAATACCACAAGGGCTACAGGCCCTGAGTGTGGCCCAAGCCCCAGCTTCCAGAAGGAAGTGGCCCATCACTGGGGGTTGCTCTACTGGCCGATGAGAAAGAGGCAGGAAGGCCCTCTAGGCACTAGGATGGTTTCCAGATTCTGGATGCCACGGGAGCTCATCCTGTCTGAGCAGAAAGTGGAGCGTGAGGCTGGGGGCTTCACAGGGGCTGCTGGCCCAAGTGACTGGGACCTCATTTTGCTCTCCTTGTTCCCACAGGAGTTGGACCCTTTGGAGGTCAGCAGCCTGGAGTCCCTCTGGGGTACCCCATCAAGGCACCCAAGCTGCCAGGTAAGGCAGAAGGAGGATTCGAGAGCCACCACTCGCTGGGCCTCCCTACTGGGAAGCCAGCTTGAGAGGGGACTTGTTTGGCCTCCTGTGTCTTGGGGTGGACGGGGGTAGTCAGGAAACCTGGTATTAAAGCCCATTTCTAGTTGCCAGCAAAGGGAAGCCGGGGGAAGCCATCCTGCAAGTGTTGGTCTCACTCCCATGCACACACATGCACAAGTGTGCACACACATGCACAAGTGAGACCCATAGCCCTGATGGGAAACCGCTTGTGTTGATGGTAAGAAACACCATTCACTGGAAGGGCCTCTCTGATGTCAACCCACCTCCACCCCAGCAATCAGCTCACATGATGAGCTGCCTCCTGATGGGATGGAGAGTAAGGAAGACACGCAGACTCTAGGCCATGGCAGGGCCTGGGTTGGTACAACAACGGTGTCCCATCATGCCCTGGGGCAGGGGTGTCCTCTCCCTCCTCCACCAAGGCCTCTGCTCTCCCGAGAGCCTCTGAGAGCAGCTCACAGCCCTGGTGGAGGGGGCGCAGTCTTGGGCTTCAGTACCTGTGGGAATAGGTCTGTCTACCCAGGTAGTGGGGGTCCGGTGAGGCATGGGGCCACCATGGGGCAGCCCCTGATCCCACACTCGGTCTCCTCAGGTGGCTACGGACTGCCCTACAGCACTGGGAAACTGCCCTATGGTAAGGCCGTCTTAGACTGGTGGGCTTCTGGCTCTCTCCAGCTGCAGGGTTCTGGCAAGGGAGCGGTGGCCCCAGCTCAGGGCTAAGAGAGCACCAGCTGGAGGGAGGTGGGGTGTGGAGTCTCGGAATGGGAGTCCCCGAAGGAAGGGACATGGAAGTTGGACTCAGAGAACCTCGTTCTCAATCCTGGCCCTCGCACTTATCACCAGGTCTTGGGAGAACCAGTTTCTTCTCTGAGCCTCAGTGTCTTTGTCTGTAAAATGGGAATAACCATCCCATACACATTTGTATTTAACTCTGGCTGCGGGGGAGACAGGTGGAGACTCTTGGGTGGCCTGGCCCTTGAAAGGCAGGGGAGGGGGCAGCCACAGTGAGGTCCACGTGGATGCCCAGAGCCTCTCGTTTCGCAGGCTATGGGCCTGGAGGAGTAGCTGGTGTCGCGGGCAAGGCCGGGTACCCGACGGGGACAGGTAAGGAGAGCCTCATCCCACTGCCAGCCAAAGGGGGCACTAATTACCGAGGCTCCATAAAGCAGGCCAGCCTACCCTACATCCAGACCCCAGTCTGAGCCTGGAGAAGGGTCCTCAACCTCTGCATGCTATGAAACCCCACATCCACAACCAGATGTGAACCAGTTGGTTTTCTTTTTTTTTTTTATAAATCTATTTATTTATTTTTGGCTGCGTTGGGTCTCTGTTGCTGTGCGCGGCTTTCTCTAATTGCGGAGAGCGGCGGCTACTCTTCATTGCGGTGCGAGGGCTTCTCATTGCGGTGGCTTCTCTTGTTGTGGAGCACAGGCTCCAGGTGTGCGGGCTTCAGTAGTTGTGGCACGTAGGCTCAGCAGTTGTGTTGCACGGGCTTAGCTGCTCTGCAGCATGTGGGATCCTCCTGGACCAGGGCTTGAACCTGTGTCTCCTGCATTGGCAGGCGGATTCTTAATGACTGCGCCACCAGGGAAGCCCCGAACCAGTTGGTTTTCTTGGGGCTGGAATAGGTGGGCTCTGGAGATGCAGGGGCACATTTCCCAGAGTCTCTCTCCTTCCTCTCCCCCAGGGGTTGGCACACAGGCTGCTGCAGCAGCAGCAACTAAAGCAGCAGCAAAGCTTGGTGAGTACGCCTGGAGTCCCTGCCTGCTAGCTGCCAGCCCCCCAGCCTCTCCATCCCTATTACCACTGAGAGCCTTCCTCACAGATAACTAACTAAGGTGGCCCCTCCCCACTCCACCCCCATTTATCCAACTTTTGCAACGCCACCCGTTCCTCTCTTCTTCCATCCATCCATTCATTCATTCTTTTTTCCATCCATCCATTCACTCCACCCTCCAATCCTCCATTCCTCCATCCCTCCATCCATCTCTCCATCCATCCACCCGTCCCTCCAGTCATCCATCCCTCCCTCCTTCTGTCCCTCCCTCCATCCATGAATCCATCCCTCCCTCTATCCATCCATCCTTCCATCCATCTATCCACCCATTTATCTCTCCATCCATCCATCTACCCATCCATCCATTCATCCATCCCTCCCTCCTTCTGTCCCTCCCTCCCTCCATCCATCCATTTCAGAGACCGGGGACAGATAAGAGCTCTGCTGGAGAATGTTGGCACTGCTGTGGGAGTCAAGAGGGAGACGTTGTTTCTACCTGGGGATAATCAGGAAGAGTTCTCAGAGAGAATATTTGATTCAGGCCTTAAAATATAGGTGGAGTTTGCCATGTGGTTAAAATAGGAGAGAATGGGTAAAAGGGTGGTTAGAATGATAATTTTAGGTGGTACCTATATGAGCATTTAAACAATTTAATAGTTTAGTATCAATTTAATATGTACTATAAAACTTTTAACTAGCTCCTCGAGCCCATGATCCCTTGGTTAGTAGATGTGGCATGGCCTTCTCTACGCCCGCATGGGGAGCAAAGTGGGCATCTGTCCCCCTGTCCCGGGTGATTCCCCAGTTCAGAGTCAGATCACGGGTGGTGAAGTCTTCACCTCTACCCCAGTCCCAGGGGAGCCCTTCCTGTAGCCTGTAGCACTGAGCTGGAGGCCTGCCTCACGGAGGCCCCACAAGCCCTCCCTCCAAGCCCCCAAGGCTGGAGGGGATGGCTGGAATGTGGGAGCAGGAGAGTTGGACGGCAAGGGGCTGCCAGAGCCAGGCAGCCAGGCGCTTGGATTACAAACTTGGCCGCGTCTTCGGAACACAGGGAGAGGAAGTCTTGAACATTCTTGCAGGGGCCCCCCTGGCCCGGGGAGTGGCCGCTTGTGGTTTCTCAGTATGTGGCAGTGATTAGAATGGGATTTGTCTGAAAACATACAAGTCCCTTAATGAGGGTGTTGAAATGGACACTTTGGGGGTGAGTCAAGGAAGAGTGGGGTGGGGGCCTTCCCAAGCCGGCCCAGCTGGAGATGCCTGGGCCTCATTCCCAGAGGAGATTGCGCTGTGAAAAACACCAGCATACAAGTAGCCTCCTGCCTGGCTTCGGGAGGGGCCCCTGGGAGCCACATTTGCCCTATCCCCCTCCTAACAGGTGCTGGAGCAGCCGGAGTTCTCCCTGGCATTGGTGTTGGCATTCCTGGCGTGATTCCTGGCATTGGAGGCATCGCAGGTCGTGTCCATTCCAGCAGGGGGTGGCGGGTGTCCTTGAGAATGCTGTAGGGGGAAGGGCCTCACCTTCTGTGGCTCTCTCTCCAGGGGTCGGGGCTCCAGATGCTGCTGCTGCCGCTGCTGCTAAGGCAGCCAAATATGGTGAGTGTCCCCACAGTGGGCAGGACCAGGGCTCCGGCCAGTCCTGGCCTCGGCATGGGCCTTGGAGACCCTAGTCCTATAAGGCTGGATGGACTTGGCCTTTGTCCGTCTGGGGCACCGTCCCTCGCCAGGCATCACCGTCATGCCTCCTTGCTTCTGCCCATTCTGGCCGCTCTGCCTGGGAGACTCTCTCCAGTGCTCTCCACTGACCGACTCAGCAGAGGGCAGGGACCCTGTGGAGCACCTGTCTCCTCCCACTTTACCCCCAGGGCCAGCCAGAGCTGCTGCACCAACTGCCTGGGTGCCCAGTGGAGCGTTCTGACTCTGCTTTCGAGCTAGATCGTGCTCTTCCCAACCATAGATCCAAACCCTTAGAGCTCTGTTGGGGTTCCCTCACTTCCCTCCCCTTCTGTCGGATGACTTGGATCCATGCAGATGCAATGCCCGCTCACCTGGGATCCTGCACTCAGGACCTGCCACTCCCGTAGTTCCCCAGAGTCGTGCCCCTGGAGGCCCTCTGAGGTTCCCACAGGGTCCAGGCCAGGGGAACAATCCTTTCCTGCCACAGGAGCTGCTGGAGGCTTAGTGCCTGGTGGGCCAGGCTTTGTCCCAGGAGCAGTCGGCATCCCAGGAGTTGGAGTCCCAGGTGTTGGGGTCCCAGGTGTTGGAGTCCCTGGTGTTGGAGTCCCAGGTGTTGGAGTCCCTGGTGTTGGAGTCCCTGGTGTTGGAGTCCCAGGTGTTGGGGTCCCAGGTGTTGGAGTCCCAGGTATTGGGGGCCTGGGCATCATGGGTGGACCAGGTGACCTTGGCTCTGTGTGTGTGTGTGTGTGTGTGTGTGTGTGTGTGTGTGTGTGTGTGTGAAGAGAGAGATGTTGAAACTATTGCCAAGACTTTTGTATTCTCCCTGACACCTCCCCACTCTATCCTGTTCTCTCCACACCGTTGGTCATCTTCTCTCCCTTGGGATATAACCACCTCCTAATTAACTACGGCCAGCATCATCTTGAATTCACCTTTTGGCTGTCAGTGTGCTCCTGGGGGCAGGAACCATGTCTTTTTCATCTCTGTGTTCCCAGCCCTTAGCTGAATATGTGCTCAGTAAATGGTGGATAGATGGGTGGGTAGGTAGATGGGTGGATAGATGAATGGGGGTGTGGATGGGCAGAGGGACAGCTAGAGAGGTAGGTGAATGGCCATGTGGATGAGTAGGCAAATTGATGGATGAGAGAGTGGGTGGTGGGTGGATGAAGGGACAGATACAAGGATGGGTGGTTACATGGATGGATAGATAGATATAGGTAAAATGGTGGATGGTGAGATAAATGGGTAAATGGAAAGAGATGAATAGGCAGGTTGGGGACAAGATAAGTGGTTAGAAGGATGGATGGATGGATGGATGGATGGATGGATGGATGGATGGATGGATGGATAAGCACGTGGGTAAATGAGCAGATGAATGGGTGGGTAGAAGGCAAACACAAAATTGATGGGGAACTTCCCTGGCAGTCCAGTGGTTAAGACTCTGTGCTCCCAATGCAGGGGGTGAGGGTTTGGTCCCTGGTCGGGGAACAAAGATCCCACGTGCTGAGGGGTGCCGCGAAAAAAAGAAAATCAAAATGGTTGGTTGGTTAGATATTTAGATTAATGGATAGATAGACAGATGGATGGATAAATGCATGTGTGGGTGGACAGAGAGATAAGTGGTTGAGTGGGTAGATTGAGGTCCAAAGATAGACAAATGGGCAGCCATATGGGAAGGTCAGCAGATAGATGAATGGGTGGCTGGATAGACAGATGGACAGATGGCTTGATAGAGATATGTATGGGTAAATGGATGGACAACTCTGTGTTGGCTCAACAGATAGAAAGAAGACGGACTGAAGGACAGATGGGTGGACAGAGGGATATATATAGCGCATCTCTGCTCCATTCTCTCCTGAGCATTTGTGTTTCCCTTGATCTCTCCAGGGGCTGTGTCACCAGCTGCAGCTGCTAAAGCAGCAGCCAAAGCAGCCAAATTCGGTGAGTCCTGTGCTGATAGCTCCGCCCCACCTTATTCTGGCCTTTACTTGCCAGAACTAAAGGACCGTCATCTTCTAGGCCTCGTTGTACAGCCCAGAGAAGGGGAGTGACTTGCCCAGGGTCACACAGCAAGTCACTGGCAGAGCTGGGACTTGGACCTATTGAGCCCCAGGACCATGTCTCCCCCAGTTGTCTCCCACCATGAGGCCAAGGAACTGGGTGATAGGAGAGTCCCAGTACGGCATTCCCAGTGGAGACAGTGTCCCTGACCCTCCCTGCTCTGGCCAGGACCCTCTCAGAGGAGCCCAAGCCTGGCTGGGGATAGGGGACCTGTGCGCAGTCTTTCCGTCTTCAACAAAGAGGCCCTTTCCCAAGCGCTCAGAGAAGAGAGGGGCTGGAGACACACTGGGGGGTGTCAGTAGGGAGGAAGTTGGTGGGGGACCCAGGTATCCCATGGTTTCCTGTCCTTCATGGACCAGACTTGGGGGAAGCTCGCGTCCTCTTCTGCAGTCCAGCGTCCCCCAGAGCCCTTCCCAGCCTCTCTCACTGAGATCATTTTCCACTTGCTTCTCTTCTCTCTGCAGGGGCCAGAGGCGGAGTGGGAGTTGGAGGTATTCCCACTTTCGGCGTTGGTGCTGGGGGCTTTCCTGGCTACGGTGTCGGAGTCGGAGGTGTTCCTGGGGCTGGCCTTGCCCGTGAGCCTTAGTTCCATGCAGGGGAAACAGGGAAGGGGCGGGGGCTTGGGGGATGGGGGTGGGCGAGGGTAGACTGGGATTCGAGGGGCTCAGGGAGGAGTTGGGGGAGAGCGCAGGGAGGGTCTCCAGTGCCTTTGGGGCAGGAGCCCTGTCAGCACAGCCTGGCTGAGAGCCAGCAAGGTTTCTGAGTCCCTTTCTTTCTCCGCTCCTCATAGCTGCAGCCCAGGCAGCCGCCGCCAAGGCAGCCAAGATTGGTAAGTGCCCCAGCCCTGCCTGTCCTCACGCCCAGGGCCATGTCCTCCCTCCTCCCCACCGCAGCCCTGCTCTCCTGCAGGGCCCAGGCTCAAAGCTCAGATCAATTCTCCAACACGAGGGCAGAGCAACGTCACACTAGGGCCTCCAGGGCTGAAATGGCCTGGGTCAAGGTCGGAAGCCCCTGGGCCCATCCTCCAAAGCCACAGTGAAGTTTTCTGCGCTTTTCAATTGCGCACCATTAGGATCATTGGTGCCTGGCTTATCACCCCCAGACCAGCGCGTTAAAGGTGCCCGTCCATACACAACCACGGTGCCATTTTGCAACCCCTACCTCCACCCTCTGCTCCCCCAAGAAGGGGGCACTTCAAGGGCAGAGCTGGATGCTCTTCACCCCTCCAGGTGCTGCAGGAGCAGGAGCCCTGGGAGGGCTGGTGCCCGGTGCCGGAGGAGAAATACCAGGTGTGCCAGGCGCTGTAGGGGTACCAGGTGAGCTGCGTCCCCAACCCAGACATGGGTTTGGCTTATCTCATGGAAGGGGCCCTGGAGGTGGCCTATGTCAAGTGTACCATTTTACAGATGACAAGACTGAGCCCAGAGACAAGGGTAGAGACAAAGCAATTTCCCTTAGTTTGGAGGGAAGAGCCCCCATGGGATTCCAGATTGCTGAGTGAACCCGGCAATTCCCCTACCTGCCCTGGGGACGATCAGGATGTCAGCCCAATAGGCAGTGGAACTCTGCTCTACCAGGGTTGGGGGGCCTCATTCACCCCTCACGAGGCCTTTCTGGTTTCTGATCAGGTGGGAGGGCCTGTGTCAGCTTTTGTTTTCCCAGCACTCTTTCTCCAAGGGGAAGAGATTAAGAATTACAATGAGATTAATTTACAGCCTTCCTTGATTGTTTTTTTCCCACCAGAAGATTTCTCTTCTGCATTTCTTCTTCTTTCTGGGAGGAAATTCCCCTTTTGAGTTTCCCCCCAAGAAATGTGGCGCTTCCTCTAATATTTTTGGATACAGGCGTGATTAGGATTTTTAAAAACTAACATCACCTTCAGCAGAAAGCTCCAGAAATCTTTTAGACTGAGGTTTGGGAGAGACAGCTTCGGGCTGCCCTCCACCATGGGCAAAGCTAGAAGGCCACAGTCTCAGAGCGGCTTCTCAGGGAAGGGACGTGTCCAGGGTGGCTGGTGGGCCACCTGAGAGCGGGCCTGCCTCACGCTGGGTTTCCTGGGTGAGGGGACAGTTCCCTAGAGGTGGTCTCTGAGAAGCCTTTCCACTGTGGAGGGTGGGTAAGAGGGGGAAGGGGTGCTGGGGACCACTCCCCACTCTTCACATCTCCAGGGGCAGGGATCCAGGCAGCTGCAGCCGCCAAAGCAGCCGCTAAAGCAGCCCAGTTCGGTAAGTGAGCCCCCTGCCAGTCCTGTCTTCAACCCTCAGCCTAGAGCACTGCTCTCTTGTGTCCCTGCTTTGGGGTCTGGCAGACGCCCCTCCCTAGGCTGTCATGTTCTGGGCGTGGGCCTTCCTCACAGCTTTTGGCCCATCTGACCACTTTGAGGGGTGTGGGTGAAGTTTCTGATTAGGAAGGCAAAGTGAGAACAGGTGCTGGCGAGCCCGCCAGAACACACCCCCTACCCTTCCCAAAGCCACTGCTGCCTCCCAGTCCAGCTGGGGCCTTGCCCTGCTTCTGGAACAAATGCTGGGCTCCTCTGGGCTCCCACCCACCCCAAGGGACAGCCATGTTCTTGCTCCCTGACAAGGTTCTCCATGTCCTGCTTCATCTGAGGGCCACCCTGGCAGCCCCAGGTTCCCATACTTTCCTGAATATGGCATAGCAAAACAGCTCACTTTAGAGCCAGAGAAATCTTAACTTCAGGTCTGCTGACCCCCAAACTCACATATGACAAACAACTCTTTTTTGTAAAACTATCATTTGCTGAGGTAATCATTACACCAGCCTTATGAAATTGGTACTCTTATGCCCATTTCACAGATGTGGAAACTGAGGCTCCAAGAGCCTAAGAGACTTGCCCATAGTCACACAGCTAAATGGTGGCCGAGCTGAGTTTGGAAGCCAGTCCTGCCTGTCTTGCAGAGCTCCCTTGACTACATAAGTCTGCCTCCATCATCACCCTCAGGATCCTCAAAGGGGCCCTTGTAACTCCAAAGTTTAAGAACTCCTGCTCCTGCCCAGAACTCATATTAGGGATGAAGAAGCTGAGGCCCATCAAGGGAAAGTAACTTGTCCAAGGTCACACAGCAAGTCTGTGCCCAGCTAAGGACCCAGGGCTCCTGACCTCCAGCCCGCTGCTCTTTCCATTAGCTTCTGCCCTCCTTGATCAGTACTTGGTTAAGGATGAGCTCTTCTCTGTCTTGCAGGGTTAGGCCCGGGTGTCGGCGTGGGTCCCGGTGTCGGTCTGGTTCCCGGAGTCGGCGTGGGTCCCGGTGTTGGCATTGGCCCCGGTGGTGTCATAGGTAAGCAATGTGGGCAAGTGGGCCTGAGGGGCCTCGGAATGCTCCATGGGTGCCGTCCTTGAACCCCCTCTCTCTCCTCCCAGGAGCAGGGGCCCCAGCTGCAGCCAAATCCGCTGCTAAGGCGGCAGCCAAAGCCCAGTTCCGTGAGTGCCCTGCCTGCCTTCTCTCCTCACCCCACAAGCCCAGGCCTGGCCCAGCGTGATCCAAGCCTAAACTGGACCCCAGGACATGCCATATCTCAGGCCCTCCCTGCAGCCTCATGAGGCTCCCAAGGCGGCAGACAGAGGGATTGGAAGTGCAGATTTGGCCCGAGGGAGACCTGGGTTCGAGTCGTGAGCCACACACTAGCTGAGTGACCTCTGAGTTTCCTGTTCTCCCGTGTGGGTACCGATGGCACCTGTCACAGAGGCTTGTTAGGACAATCAAATGAGTTCATCCAAAAGGGAGGAACAGGAGGTTAGGCTGAAAAGGGCAGTGGTGTCCAGAGTGTGTGTCCCTGAATGCCAGCCTGGGGAAGGGCTGGACTTGGTGGTCAATGAGAGTTTTAGGAAGACCATTCTTGTGGCAGCGTAGAGGGCAGATTAAGGGGGTCTGGGCCCCTTCCTTGGGGTCTGACTCAGCTCCGTGAGCCAGACACCCCCAAAAGGGCCTGTTCCCTGCCTGCTGCCGCCACCCCACTCCCCATCTCCCCCAGGGGCTGCCGCTGGGCTTCCTGCCGGCGTTCCCGGATTTGGAGCCGGTGTTGGAGTTCCTGGACTTGGAGTTGGTGTTGGTGTTCCTGGATTTGGGGCAGGTGAGGGGTGAGGGGCCTTCTAGGGGCTGAACAGAAACTCCCCTGACCTCAGAGGAGGGAGACCTCTCCCCCCAGCACGTCCCCTCCACTCAGAGGTGTGCAATAAATTCCCCATTAGGTTCTCCTAAGCAGTTAGAGACAACTGGGCTAACAGATGCGGGCAGGCCAGGCGAAAGGTCCTCTTCTGCCAGATTTCAGAGTTTCTGTCTCCTCAGTGGAAGGGTGCCAGGGCTCCAAACTGAGAAGAAGCCCACCACCCAAGGAAGGAGGCTGGAGGTCCCTGGGGTCAGTGGTGTGTGTGGGCTAGCCTGGGTCCCCTTCAGCAGTGTGCTGTGGCAAGGGGGCCACTAGGAACTCGAGCTCTTCATCTGCTAGTTACTGAGCCTGCTCTATGTCCAGCCTCAGGCAGACCACGCTGGGCCTAGAGGAGACGGGAGGGGACAGATGGAAGGAGGAGGCACAGTTCAGCCCTCAAGCATCCCCAGACCAGACTGGTAGAGGCACAGTTAGACACTGAAGCTCTGTACTTGGCTGGGTGAGCTCCTGGCTGCAGAGCCACAGCTTCAGGGCTTTGAGAGAAGCAAAGAAGGCTGAGGAAGTCAAGGAGGGCTCCCTGGAAGAAGCAGAATCCCCAGGCACAGAGGTCAGCTGCTGACCACCCCACTTTTCCTTTTGCCCTTTTCCGCAGTACCTGGCGCCCTGCCCGCAGCTAAAGCTGCCAAGTATGGTGAGTGCACCCCACACACCATCCCTGACAGCACCTGGTCACCCAGCTCCCCTCTCCCTGGGCCAGGGCCCAATGCCTGGAGCCTACAGCGCAGGGCTGGGATGGTCAGGATGGAAAAAGGCAGTTTCTAGGAAGCATTAATGATGGTTCAGCAGACTCTGGCTCCTGCCCACTAAATGCCTAGCGTGCCTCCAGCCCCAGGACAACCAAAACTGCCCTTCATAGTTCCAGCACCCCTGGGGACAGTTTCACTTTGGTGAGGACCATGGTCCCTAAGACCCCTCAGGCCCTGACCATTTCATGGGGCCCAAGGCCAGGGAGGGGCCAGGGCTGCTGTCCCAGCAAAGCCAGGACTCCTCATCTGGGCCCCTGCCTCCCTGTCAGCATGACTGCACCCGCCATGAGCCACGAGGACGTGGCAGACCTGCCCTCCCCCCACACTTGGCACTCGGGCAGCCCCGCCTGGCCAGATCCACACTGTCTATGTCCCCCTGCATTCCCGGCCTCCTGGGATCCGGGCTGGGGCCTCCGCCAGGGAACTGCCAACCAGGCCTGGCTGGTCCACGTGGGGCCAGTTTCCACCTCGGAAAATCCCAGCTTCCTCAGCCCCCGCCCACGGCAGGCGTGATGACCCACAGGCCCCTCTCCTGTTCCTCGCTGGAGGCTCTGCTGGCCTGAGTTCGGCAGCCATTGCCAGGGAAACAGAGCAGTTAAGGGCTCTGGCTCCGAAGTCATTTCCTGCCCATGAAACCATGAACACATTGCTTAACCACTGCTGTGCCTCAGTTTTCTCATCTGCAAAATGGGGCTAATAGTGCCTACGTTTCCTGCTGCCCGGAGCAGTCTGATAAGTGTGACACACGGACCATGAGTGTCCCCCTAAAGCGCTAGCTATAACTCCTGCTGCTGCTGCTACTGGCAGCTCTGTACTGGACAGTGGTTCACACTCAGAGGTCCTTTCAGTCTCCCAACACCTATAGGTGAGTAGGAGTAAGGATCATCATCTCCTTTATAGAGATGCAACTCTGCGGCTCAGAGAGGTGACAGCTATGATGAGTGGAGAAACCAGATTCAAACCCAGGGCTGTCAGGACCTGAGACTAGTCTTCCACCCTTGGCAGCCTGTGGCCACAGCCACCACTGTGACCACCTGCAGGTCCCAGCACCAGCCCGGGAGGAAGGAGAGGAGACAGGCAGGCTGAGGCTCAAGGGGTGTGCCCTTGCCCGATGGGTCAGGGCAGAACCAGACCTCAGACCCGGGTGTCTGGTTATGGATTTCTGTCCAATACTCCTTCCACTAGGTCACGTGGCCTCAGCCACCTGTCTACTTGCCTAGTAGCCCTGGGGCCGGGAGACCCCGTCCTTCAGAAAGGGGAGGATTGACTTTTTGTCCTCTCTGCACAGCAGGAGGGGCCGGGGCCCTTGGAGAGGTTGGAGATCTTGGCGGAGTCGGTGTCCCAGGTGGTGTGGCAGGTGACTTGAAACCCCAGGACAGGCTGGGCATTGAGGGAGACTGACCCATGGAGAGTCCCTCCCTGAGCCCCCTCTGTGTCCCCAGGAGCCGGACCTGATGCTGTGGCTGCTGCCGCCAAAGCTGCTGCCAAAGCCGCCCAATTTGGTGAGCACAGGCTTGAGGAGGGGGCTGCCGCCAGGCTTCTAGGATTTGACGGGAGGGGAGGGGTTCTGACCACGCACCATGGAGCGCATATTCCCTGACCTGTCCCTGAGGCCCTCAGGGGCATCATCTCCCAGGGCCCCGGCCCACCTCCTGGTCCCACTAACCCTCCAAGGCCCTGGGGGCTCAGGCTCCACCTGGGTCCTGGGATGATCTCCCCACCCCACCACCTCCTCCCGCACCCCACCGCGGACAGACCAGCTGCTCTCACTTGCGGGGGTTAATGCACAGCTCTCTTCTCAGGGTTGGGGGGAGTCGGTGGGCTTGGAGTCGGAGGACTTGGAGTTGGAGGGCTTGGAGTTGTCCCAGGGGCCGGGGTCCTTGGAGGTAAGGGATACTCTGGAATCAGTGAGTGCATGGCCGCCCCCTTCTCTGGGCTCCTGCAGCATTTTCAGGGGCCTGAGCAGGCTTAGCGAGGGCTGCCCCTTGCAGTTGGGTGTCCCAGTACTCTCCCTCTCTTTCAATTCACCCAACCACCTCAAGTGGGAGTTCATTAGGATAGTGATGGTTATGCCCATTTTCCAGAGAAGAAAAGCAAAGCTTGGAGGGAAATTACTTTCCCAAAGTCTCTGCCATCATGGTGGACCTTATGTTAACATTTCTCTCTCTCTTGGGTCATCATTGTGTCTCCCTACCTGACCTGGCCTGAAGTCTCTTACCCCGTGTACTCCACAAGACTGGCCACACAGTAGGAGCTTAATAAAGACTTCTGGAAAGATGGACGGATGAAGGTGGGGTGGAGGGATGGTGGAAGGATGAGTCAGTAGGCTGATGGCAGATCGGTGAGCAGGTCAGGAGGGGAACATGACTTGGGGAGGGAGGAGATATTCCTGAGCGCTCATGCTCACCATCTCCCCAGGTGTGCCCCCAGCTGCAGCTGCTAAAGCAGCCAAATTTGGTGAGTTGCTCCCGATGCCCCTCCCTGCCCAGGCCTGCAGGCTGCTTATACCCCACCCCCACTGCCCTGTCTCCGCCCCGGCGCAGGCCTCAGTCCTGCTCACAATACCCCTGAAGGCCCATCCAGGAGATCCCTGACCCCAGACCCCAGAGGGGATGCTCAGGGTCCCTTAAACTGTGGCTCGTCCTCACCCACATCTGCCCTCTTCTCAGGTGCCGCTGGGCTTGGAGGTTTCCTAGGCGCCACCAGGCCATTCCCAGTTGGAGGTAGGGACCACCTCTGCTGTGAAATCCTCAGCTCTGCCCAGCCCTGGAGGAGGCCTGGCTGCCTAGCAGCTGGGACTCTGAAGCTGCATCTGGCACAGGGACACAGAGAGAGGGTGGAGGGGACAGTCCAGGAAAGGAGGCATCCTGGGCAGAGGGGCAGGCCTCAGGGTCAGGTGGACACATGTGTCTCAGACACCAGGCCAACGAGCTGAGGCTATAGAGCTGCATCCCCGGATGCCAGGAGGGGACCAGCTGTGTTAAGAAAGCTGCTTTGGCAGTGGGGAGGGGGCAGTGGGAGGAGGTGGTTCTAGTCGGAGAGGCAATGAGTGGCAAGGCTGGGGTGGGCCCTGCCCCCCACCAACCCCAAACCCCTCCTGCAGGTGTCGCAGCAAGGCCTGGCTTCGGACTGTCTCCTATTTTCCCAGGTATGACCAGGCTCCCCCGCCCTGGGCCCCATCCTTCCTCCTTCCCTGGTTCATCTCCTGCTCAGAAGCGCTGAGCCAGGACCCGAAGGGTACCCCACGCCCTCAGATTGCACAGAGTTGGGTTTCCCCTTCTCCTCTCCCTCCCGTGTCAGGCCAGGGAGCATCAGCTCTTCCAACACACCACGTTCATATGAGGCAAACTGAGGTTCAGAGAGTGCCAGGGTCACGCTCAAGGTCACCCAGTCACTGGTAGAGGCAGAGCCAAGGGCTTCCAACAGCCAAGCCCAGAACTTGGCCCCTCTCAGATGAGGCCCAGGCTGCCCGGGAGGGCTTGGCGGGCACCCCAGAGGTGGGCACACTTACAACCCCTCTCCTTGCCTTGTAGGTGGCGGAGCTGGGGGCCTAGGAGTTGGTGGTGAGTCTATCATAAGAACAAGGGGCCCCGTTTCAAGCAGGGCCCTGAGCTCCTTCCCAGGGCAGGGGTCGATCCTGCTGAGGGAGCGGCTAGTGCAGCCATGGCCCTGGGCTGGCCCTCTGGCATGGGGACCCGAGGGAGCCCCACGGGGAATCACAGAAGCTGAAGTCAGCCCGGGGATGTGGGGATGTGGGGACCCCGATTCCTGGGGCTCCCAGCTGGGCACTCAACTGGGCACCAGGAGTGAGACAGGGACCTGGGTCTGCCTGGCTCTCAGGGTCTAACCAGAGAGGCTGACAAGTTCCCATAGAAAAGGAAAGAAACGGAAGGGGAGGCACAAGGCCTGTTCAAGCAGGTGGTCAGGGGGGCTGAGCCTGGAGCCCGTCAGTGGGGGTAAGGCTGCCCCTGGGAAGCGTGGCCAGGGTCTGACTGTGGTGGGAGAAGGCGCCGCAGAGCTGCTCAGTCCTCCACAGGCAGCAGGCCATCTGCAAGGAGCGAGGTTGGACAGGAGGGTCAGGTCGGGGTCAGAGAGGCCTTTGGAACCTGCTGCTACAAGATGGAGGCGTGTGGAGGGGCGGGGTGGGGGGTGTCTGGGAGAGGAGGGAAGGCCTGGCCTCCTCCCCAATCCCGGCCTTCCCTCCACAGGCAAACCTCCCAAGCTTTACGGAGGGGCCCTGGGAGCCCTGGGATACCAAGGTGGGTAGAGACTCAGCCCCTGGAAGTGGGCGGGGGGTGAGGGGGTGGGTGTCGGGCAGAGGCGGAGTGATGGGGCCCATCAGCCTGGGAGAGAGGGCAGCACGTCAGACGAGGCCTGGCAGGGAGTGGGGTGGCTGGGGCAGAGCTGGACACCTTACCCACCCCTTCTACCTGCGACACAGACACGGAGAGCTGAGAGGCCTGGCCGCCCCTCCCTCCCTGGTACCCACACCCACCCCTGCGGGATGAGCGAGGGGCTGGTGGGGGGGCAGAGAAGGAGAGAGAGGATGGAGGCGACAACAAAGGGAGCCCCGGAGTCAGGGGATCGGAGGGGTGGACCCGGCAGGGTGGGCAGAGGCGGCCCAGAGCCATACCCTTGCTCCAAGATGCAGGTGTGTCTCTGGCAGTGTGTGGGGTGGGGTCTGATCACCACCCCCCAGGCATCTCCCAACAATGCCCAAAAGAGACCCAGAGAAGCCCCAGCTCCGCCCCTGTGCCCAGCTCAGGCTGCGGATCCCCTTCCCAGATGAGACAGCCCAGGCCAGGGCAGGGAGAGGCAGAGGCAAGAGGCAGCCTGACCTCGTCCAGGGCGCCCAGCTCTCAGTCAGGCACCAGCTGGTGCCTGTGGCCCTGTCACACAAGCTTGCTTTTTGTTGGCTTTCTTTCCCGACAAACACCCTGGAGGAGCTTCACAGAGAGAGAGAAAAAGATGGTGCTCACTGCCACCAGGTGGCAGTAATGAGCCACATCGAGCTCCCCCAGGGGTAAGCGCTACCCCAGGCCCTACTACCAGACCTCTGTGCCTTGATGATTTGAAATAAGGTTAACCAATCAGACCCTCCGCCCGAGAGGGCAGGAGTCCTGCTACCACCCACCTGCCCAGTGGGAGTTCGTACAGCCGAAGAGCTCAGAGAGTGGCCTGGGGTCCTGTCCAGGCTTCCCGTGGCTTCTTGGAGCCTCTGTTCCCCACTGTGATGATGTGGGTGTTAAGAACAGCTTGGAGTTGGGGGGAGTGGGCAAGGGCTTGAGAAGCAGCCAAGACTGACCCTTGCGTGTGCCTCCCCGCGCCCAGGTGGGGCCTGCCTGGGGAAATCCTGTGGCCGGAAGAGAAAGTGAGCTTCCCAGGACCCCTGACTCACGACCTCATCAACGTTGGTGCTACTGCTTGGTGGAGAATGTAAACCCTTTGTGACCCCCCCCATCCCATGCCCCCTCCTAAGTTCCCACCCCAGGAGGGAACAGGGCAGGCAGGGTGGCCTTGGAAATCCACAGGGCAAGCAAACAAGAGAGTGGTGGCCAAGTGGGCTCCTGGAAGCCCCCTCCTTCAGAGGCAAGGGGTGGGTGGGCTTGGCCCCTGCCCCCACCCCCTTCCCACCCAGGAGCTCTCCCTCCACACACTCCATCTCCAGGGGAACTTGGTGCTACGTACTGGTGCTCTCATTCTCCCTGTGGGGAGGGAGGAGGGAAGGGCAGCCCCTCAGGGAACCCCCTTCCCTGGGGCTCCTCTGAAGATGGTGCAGACACTTCCTGGGCAGTCTCACCTCCCCCTGCCCACCAGGACCCACCTCTGGCTGCAGTCCAGTTGGTACCCAAGCATCGAAACCCTCAAACTGGATTCGGTCACACCATCTCTTGGCCCCCTTGGCCACCTCTCCCCTTACCAATGGCTATTCCCCATGTCTGGGGCACCTTCAGGTCGGAAGATTCCCCCCATTGGGAATAGCCCTCTTGCTCTTGTGGAATTCATCCACCCATATGCCCATCCGTCCATCCGTCCTGGTCCCCATTTGGCTGCCCGGCACCGCTAGCTGGCTGGGCGCCCCTACCATCAACTCGATTAACCTGTCATGGCAGCCTGTGCCCTGCCTCTGCCCCACCACATACACCCCTACGTAGGGGCCCCGAGTCCAGGTTGTGAGGGGCTGTCCCGACTGGGGCAGCCGGGATCTCCCTCCCCAACCGGGTCCCCC